AGCACTCCCACACCTGTAATCCCTGGCGCGCTCCCCCTTTCTTCAGCTGGGGTCGGCGGATTCTACTCAGCAGCAGAGAATCAGCGCTGGATGTTAAAGTTTGAGTCGGCCTGCTCCTGCTTTCGTTCTCCTCTCTCCAGGCCATCCCCGTGGGAATTTCCTTTGTCAAACAACCTGGGTAGTCTTAAAGAACGAAATCAGTAGATACAGTTGCAATGGCCCAACTCCAACCCGGTGGTTGCCGTTCTTTAAAGTGGCAAGGCGTACCTTGATTCTTTAGAGGTTGGTTTTGGTGTGCAATAGTAAGCGTGCATGAGCGCAACCCGGGTGCACTGTTTCTGTGGTGTTTCAGGGATTTTCAAGGCAGGTTCCTGTTCTTTAGCAGGGCATGCTGTACTTGGATTTTTTCTTTCGGGACTCTTCTTTCAGCGTGTTGATTTTGTAATTACACCTCTATGCAACCTGAACCCGGAAACCCAAGTTTCTACCAAATCAATAAGCCGGGTGTCACGTCGAATTCTTAGGCCTAGGCCTATCCATTTGGATCATGTACATGTCGTTGCACATGTTGCAGGTCACCAGTCCTACGATGTGAAAATCCCAACAACCGAAGGCAGGGCAGCTGAAGCTGCTGTGCTCGCAAACACAGACGGTCGCCGGCCGGTCGCCTGCCGGTCGCTTCCCACCCTTTGGGGGGGTGCCAGCTACGTCGACTCGTGGAGTCGAGGGTGGAATCTGTTTTTTAAGCATGTTTATTCAAGCTTCTTGTTACTACCAGTAAGGCACTTGTTACTACTAGCGATGCACTTGTTACTAGTAGCTTCTTGTTACTACTAGTAAGGCACCTGTTAGTAGCGTGGCACTTGTTTCTACTAGCTTCTTGTTTGTGGAATCGGTTTTTAAAGAAGCATGTTTATTCTATTCTTTTAAGGGGGGGTAGGCCGCTAGGACGGTGAGGTAGGTAGCCTACTTAATACCTTAGACGCAGGATTGCTTGCGCTCGCACTAATGATTTGGTTCCTAGATGGAAACTAAGGCAAGTATTGCACGTTCTGCCGTAATTAGCACCCGGCCACTCTGCCGCTTCTGCTGCCCATTTGCCCATTCTGAAGGACGAGTTTGCCGGAAAGGGCGGACTCCCGGCAAGTTCGCCATGAAGAAACAAGAGAACTCTCTCCATGCCCAGGCTTGCCTTGAACAAGTGCTATTGGTCCATGGATGGCCGCAAGCTGGCCACGGGCGATAGCGAGGCGTTTCAACTTGTGTTTTGATGGGTCGATGGGTGCACGATTTACAGGACATGTTCTAAGCACGCTTCATTGACGAGGCCATTTTTCCCACGTGGCCTTCACTTCTGTTTGAAACTTTCTTCTATTGGCCACTAGTTCATGTCACTTGGGTTTTCTGTGGACCATTGAATTCCCTGACTTTTGTCATTTGTTGTTCCTTTCCTTTTGTCCGATTTTGTCCTCGTTCTTTTTGTTTTTGTTCAGCTTTGTTCATTAACAATGGAGGATCCAAAGATGGTATGTAATGTACATTAACTAAATCCGGGTCAGAGATGTTCAGAGCAGCTATCGGAAAATCCTCAAGGGAGGGACCTTACGGTGGCTGATGGTCGTTTTGCCCACCCGAACGCCGAAGTTCATTGAAGAAGCATGCTTGTTGCGATTCGCATTTTCTACACAGGGTTAACCCTGGGGGCCAATCTGTGGCATTGGGCGGGGAAAGTGAACTGGTTTTGACATCCTGGCGGTGTTCGATTTTTGGAATAGCATCCGACCACGGTAATTATTTTTCCATCACCTGCCAGGGCACTGTCAGTGTCTTTGCAGCTGATCGCTCGGTGGCTCAGCCCAGGCCGGTTTTGCCCGGGTTTTTTGCAATCAGAAGATACTTTTAGAAATCCAATGATTACTGATCCTATGCGATACTTACTGGTAGATGGGTGGTGAGTATTATACATACAGTATGATAGTATATTCTTTTCAAGGTAGCTTTTCAATCGAGAGGTCGTTCTTGTTCTTTTAATTTGCACAGAGAGACCAGTCAAAGAAAATTTGGGCTGCCTGCTCCGTTAAACCTTTTGTGCTTGTCCTGCTATGGCAGGAGCGAAGACTTTGTTCAGTTCCAGGACCGCCACATGGTAGCTTTGCGAAAGGCCTAATCAGGTTGGTTTGAAGCCAGCTTCTAGTGCATCTTTGGTTGTGACCGTGCAAAGATCCACTGGACATCAGTTACAGCAGCTAGAGCGAACTTACTGCGGCATCATGCTCAGAGCTGCAGCTCAGGAGCGTGTACGACAGCTGAAGCCGATCGTCCAGCGCTCCCGGGACAGGGCATCAACTGCAGTGGGATCAGAGTCAGTCGGAATGTTTCAAGAGAAGGATGTAAATATAGAACAATCACCTGTATGCGATACGCGCCTCTTTGCTTGAGATGGTCGGAGAATGCACTCATGCTACAAACTCGCTCGCTTTTCTATGCTGTTCTGGCCAACTTAAGAAAAAGGAGATGACAAAAGGAAGAGCCCGAAGGCCCGCGTGTTTTTGGGTCTCTTCGGACGGTGTCTCGCCACAGGACGGCTATGAGTCTCGCCTTGCTTCAACCCGTGGATGACGGGAGATGTGGCCAAAAGATCGGAAGGCGGATGGATGACGATTGTGTGATCCCCAAATAGATAGAAACCGGCGTCCAATATGTTTCAATACATTTTTCCACGTGGGGATCTACCTTTCTATCTATTTGGGGGTCTATGAACGGATTTCTACTATTCCACAGTCACAGACAGTGGTTCCACAGTGGGTCTATCGGCGAAAACTCTCCGATAGTATCACAGCTCCACTTTTAACAAGCATCATGAAATCAAGTGATTGGTAAGGAAAAGCGAAGATGTGCTGTTAGTGCCTGCAGAATCCTTTGAAGGTTGAGAAACTATGTCTTTGATCACTCCTTGTGCGCTGCGCAGCTTCCAAGTCTAAACAATTCACGCCACGAGCATGGCGACTCTATGGACAGCAAGCATACTTGAAAGTAACTTGAATCGAGGTAGTGACAACCCTGGTTGCCACCGCACCTTTGCTTGTTGGCCAATCGATGCTGAACCCGAACGAACTGACATTTCAGCAGGATGAGCAAGACAGAAGACCAGCACGACCATGTTAGTTGGATGCACGGGAAATACTTAACGGCTATTTATTGCCATGCTATGAGATCGATTCCTTAAAAAACCTGTTTGGCCAAAGCCTCTTGACACGTAGTCTAGCAAATCTAAAAAGCATGAAAGGTACGCCGGGAGCCGGCTGTACCGCAAAAAAAGTAACGATCACATATATATATATATAACTGTGCAGACTCGAGGCAGGCCATGTGACGGTCACAAAAGCTCATGCAGTGCCCGCGTGATGGGTCCGAACACAGAGGCTGGGCACCGGGAAGAATGCCTCCGAATGTCCGCGTTCTTCCTCCAGGTTTCGGACTTTGGAGGTCCGCGGATTGAACAGGATGCAGTCGTTTTTTAAGTCTCAAAGCGTTGGGTTCCCCTTTTTTTCTACTGTTTACACCGAGATCAAGGCAACGGATTGCTGCAGAATCTTGTTCTGGGAACTTTGGACTACAACTTGGTGAGGTGCAGACGACAGCGTGCAGGACACGCTGCTCAGCGGCATGTTTATGTCTCACAAGTAGTTTTCTCTATTACGTAAACCTTTTCTCTATGTTTGGCCCTGCTTGCATCCTTATACAGTACACATATGAGCAACTTGATCTGGGTTTGGTCTTTGACGATGGCAGTTCCCCAATGTTCCTCAATGATTCAATGACCTCTATATAATCCTACGAATCCTAGCCTATATAATCCTATATATATATAATGATGATATTATATATAGTTATCATAGACAGGTGCGCCATGTTCTATTTACTGTACATCTCAGGAGAAAGCGCATTGCTAAGATGAAATCTCGCTCTGCAGACTGCATCGTCTTGGCTTCCGAAACCTGATTCGAAGTCTTTGTTTGCATAGTTGAGCTGTTGAATCGTTTGTTGAATTGGACGGTTCGAGGTTTGACCGAAAATCGAACCCAACATGGTTTTTCTTGATTGAACATGTTTTGAGAATCATTCAGAATGAGAGAGATCGTAGGAATTCGTGTGATATCGAATATCAACCGGTTCCGAACGTTTAGTGAATCGAGGTCCGAGACGAATCTCACTTCCAAGGCATGAAACCCCAGCTGTGAGGGCTTCGGTTTCGGGACGTTCGGGATGTTCGGTTATGGTCTGAAGAGACCGTAGAAAACCAAACGACCTTTTCTTTAAGTCTTTAAGAAAACCATGTACAAAAAGAGTCTCTTAAACTCTTTGCCGTACAGTTGGGAGTCATGGTCCATGATTTGTTGGATCGTTTGATTGTAAGACTTTCACATTACCCTGAAGCTGGACATGGTATGCTCTTTAATGTCTCCTACTGATACCTTCGTGGCTTGAATTCGAGGCATGATGCCAACATGATGGATGCACCCATGTCTTGAAACTGATTCCTCTTAAGTTAGATGATCGAGTTACTTAGTCGCCTGGGCTACAGATGTTCGATTCTCATAAGGTCTCGTTGCAGTGGCCCCGCTGAGGTCCTTGTCCTCCCATCTTTGGCATGGTTTCTTTGCGAGTCAGGAGGACCCAGTGACCCTTTTTTGGGAGTCCAGGAGGCTCGGCCAAGCACTGGTCAGATCAAGAAGAGGATACCACCGTCGACTGCTTTAGGTCTTGCACGTCCACTGTGCGGGGTGATGGGCCCACTGAGTCCTTGAGAGTGTCTTGACATACTATTGAGGTGCACAGACAGATTGTGGGTGGTTAGCATTTTGACGCCGCATGTCTGCAGCTGAAGTTTTTAAAAGCGGCATCATCCCATGCTTACCACAATGGATATCCGAGTCATGCTAGACTGATAGAGCCAACCAGGTCCCTCTACCACAGAGAATGAAGTGCATCTAGGAAGCCTCTGTCAGTCTGTCAGTCTGCAGATAGTTTTTTCAGCATCTTGAAGTAGCCCTTCAAGCCCTTCACCCAGTTGTTGAATTCTGAATGCTGTTTTCAGTATTTTTTTCACCGTTTTGATCCGTTTTGCACATTGTCTTCAAAGTATCATCATCGCGCAGCATCTTCGCCCTTCTCGCACACATGTGGTCTCTCTTCCAAATGCAGCACACGGGGCATCCATTGCCAGGCTGCGTGGGAGGTTGATGCATGTTCATCCTTGAACTCTTGAACCCAACTAAAGATACTAAAATGACAACATTATGTTTATGTATATAATTTAATATACTCATAGAATCTGGTATATTAAAATAGATGTGTACATATTTTTTGTACGGTAGGAAGAAAGAAGAAGAGTAGACGTGCTCAGTAAGTAGAAGGAGTGAAAGATGCCGAAAGCATTTGTCTCATGAAAGACTCAAAATCCTAGGACTTCGAAAAGAAGATGGGCGGTAGAAAGACGTGCCGCCATCGCCGCAGTCTTTCTCAGTGTCCCACTGTCCCCTGCCAGGTGCCACGTTTCATGCAGCGTTTCGAGCATCGAGTTTCCCGTCATCGGTTCGGGATGCTGGGTTTGCAGATTTAACAACGCGTTCGTCAGGATGAATCGTGTCTTGATCTTGATTTGCTTGGTCTTTTCATCCCCATGTAATTCTCAGAATGTTTGGACTAAAACGACGTACAATCGAGGGCAGAAAAGCTCTTCAAATATATAATGTTTGGATCCCGTCAACGCTTTGGGATGCTTTGGGTCTTGGGCCTTGGGTCTTCCAGCAACTAGCTGTAACAAGTGGACTTTACAAGGGCTCCTTTGCAGGATGTAAAAGGCGTTGTAACATGTTGTAACGCTCTTTAGCAGCAATGCCTTGTGTGTGGTCTTTTGACTTTGCTTCATTCAGATGCAGAATGACGCTAGATAGACTGAGGCTGTATGACTAGCAGACTAGCAGAGCAACAAGTGGGAGGACCACAGAGTGCTCAAAAGCACACAGGGTTCCACCGCCCTCACGAGAATGACCAGCTAGCCACTTGCAGGGTTCTTCTTGATTCTTGCTTGCATGATGAGGGCCCTAATGCGATCTAAGGACAGACCTGCAATCCGTGCAGATTTGGCATCTACATGGAGGCAGAAATCACAAGCAGGAGAGGCTTTGCAGCATTGGTTAAGTGGATGTATGACAGGTTGGTGTGTAGCTTGCCAGTGAAGATTTGGAGAACTCTTGTGTGAGTTGTCAGTTCAGAGTTTCAACTCTGGTTCCAAGCTCTTCGCGCTTTCAAGGCCGCTCTGTGTACTGGTTTGAGCGACTTGGCACAGATGTTTTTGCTGGTCAAGTCAGTCGAATCTGCCAGAACGATGCAATTCAGAAAGCCAAAAAGTTAAATACCTGCCTCAGTCCAGCCTCATCTAGTCCGGCCGCATTCATTGCGCATGCCCGCCCGGTGGGAGCATGAGTCTTCAGGTTTCGTCTTAAGCTCTCGACACCGGAGCTATGCATGCTCAAGAGGCGTGCTCATCGGGTCAGGGCATGCTCGGAAGCGAGCTAGATGCAATAGACTCAATAGACTCACAGGCCGCTGATGTTTTTGGCAGTCCTTCTTTGAGCAGACCATGAAAAAAACATTCCCTTTCTTAAAAATTGTATTTTTGCTTATGTACTCTCCCTGAAACATCATGGAAGTGGAAAACACCCTCAGAGTACAGGAAACAGGCTTCCTACTTGTAGGGGACATGTTCCACATTCCATGATTCTTTCAGGGAGGGCCCGGTGAGCGTGCAGGTGCTACCGGTGCTACCGAGAGGGAGAACCCTGCTGAGCTGGAGGCACAGCTTCGCTCAGCGGTGGAAGCCGAGGACTACGAGGCACAGCTTCCGCAGTCGTTTGTTTTTGTTTGTTTTTGAACGCCGGTACTGTAGGTGACGGATGTGTAGTGGGGGTGAATAAAGGATATAACTATACTGGTTAATATATATATATACAGATATACATATACATAAAGGACAATATTATAGGTAAGAATCACAATGGTTCTTCAATGGCAGTCGGTGAAAAATGATTGCAAGATGATTTCAGCAAGATGATTCGACTTCCCTTTTCGCAACGGTTCCTTCTCTTTCCATTGGGTTTGAAGTCCAAAACACATTGAACACAACGTTCTCTTGGTTTCGACGAGGTACCGTGCTGCAAAGATCTATATAGTTCTTGAAGTGGCCTTCCTTCGCGCAGGAAGCCGCACGCCTGAGGGATCTGCTACAGATGCTGTCCCTGGATTCAGAGGCGGCTGTCCTCAGCGCCAATAACGAGTTCTACGCCGCCTTCAGGCCATCGGGTGGAGCCGCGAGGCATGCTGAGGATGAACTTTAGAAAGCCCATGACGTATTAAGAACACTTGCGGACCAGTAGTATGAATTCAATGGGATCCCATTGCATTGTACGTGAGAGAACATGATGGCGGCTAAAGAATCATGGTCGCCATGGTCATCCGATTGCAAATTTCTAAGATTTGTGGAGGGAATCCACTTACTGTAATTTCAATAAATTGTCCAATACGAATCCACTCAGCACCCTGACTTCGTCAATGGCCAACCCACCCCGCAGCATCGTCATCGGCAGGGCTGGCAGTGCGGAGCGGATGAAGAAGATTTGGCTTCCAAGTCCCCGGAGCTGCTGCGTCCACCCTGGAAGGCCTCCACTCAATGGTGCCTGGGTCGTTCAACCTGGAGTCCCAAACCTCCATGTAGCACTGCCTTCGGTCTCCGTCGGAGACGGTCAAGCAATGGTCTCCTGATTGTGACCGCCAAATCTGATGATTTGCTGGATGTGAAACTGATTCTCCTGATGTGAAACTGGTTCGCGTGAAACTCTTTAAACATTGCCTGTTCTTTTCTCGGGTGTTTCTTTGCGAGCTGCATGAGCAGTTGACAAGTTTTCCGACCTAAGTCCCAGCATCGCTGCTTATGTTCGTAGTATTGGTCTCTCCTCGTGCACATGGCCCCGGATTCATGTCCATGCCTTTGGCATTTGGACTCCTAGAAACCACAGGATGACCCGTGCTGAACAGAGCCAAAGCATCCGGGTTTCCCTCTCTTTACCTTTGTTTCTGACTCTCTCCCTTGTCTATATTGTTCTTTGTTCTTTCCGTTCTGTCTTTCCTTTTTCGTGCTCCGTTGCCTTTTTTGCGCCTCTCTCTCTCTCTATCTTTGTTTCTCTGTGGCGCACTCTTCACTTTTGCATCGACCGTTGCATCGACGCACGAGGTTTTGATCATGTGGCAGCTTCCTGGGACATGATTCTAGCGCGAGGAGGCTGAGGGGTTAACAATTTGAAGGACCTCAGATGGGGATGAAGGCATTCCGGAGGAGCAAGGGGATGATCTAATTCTTCATCTAAAGTACAGTTTCCCTAAAAATCTAGGACCTCGGATGACCTCGGAACCAAAATCTAAGACTCTCTTCTTTCGGAAGCTTCCCCCCTTAGGCAGAGGAGTACTTACTTGGCGTCCCAGTAGTAAGCCTAGTAGTGACTTCAGCAACGAGTGAAATGGCATCAACTCTTGAAACTCTTCAGCAATCTATTGGGATTGGGATTCCGTATCTGGGATGGCGCAATTCTTGTATCCTACACCCCCGGCTTTGCAGCCATCACTCTCTTTACCAAAACCCATGTTTGTTGCTGTGGGTTTGTGGGTCGGTTTTCACCTTGGGGGAGGTCTTGACATTGAGTGTGCCAAGCCTTCTGTTGCTATGTGTGGCAATGTCGGCCGGATAGTTTGTGCCTGACTCAGTCTCTGCCAAATCTCGTCAAGATACACCAACATGGTTTTCTTCCACGGAGAACATCCTAATTTGTGCAAGCTTGTGCAAGAAGTTTTTAAGAGCATACTATTTTAACTGCTGTATGGTCAGAGAATTCCAAACATGGAGAGTATGTAAAGGATCTTGCATGTGACATAATAATGTGAATGTGACTATGTGTGATTGTCTACAAAGGCTATGAGCAAGTTGATGGGCAGATGACGTTGCTTGCTGTGAATTTATTCGAATCAACAAAGAGTCTTTGCTGCAAGAATGGATGCTGCTCAAGTCTTGTGGAGGCACACTTATCAATGAGATCGGCGCATTTCAGTGATTAAGAAAAAGGCCTTTGTTTTTGCAGTCTTGAGTTGGATGTGGTCCCATGCACTGCAAATGCTGCACATTGGACTCAAGCTAGCAGTCGCTTTTCGTGATGAACTGCACTGATGAGGAATGGTTGGAAGATGTCGTTCCACCAAGCATCTCCAGTAGCGGTACCAGCGCTTTGAAAGAGCAAAAAAAGAAGGCTTTGGGTCTGCCGTTCGCCTCAGCTTGGCTCCTGAAAGGTGATGAAAGGTGTTTGAAGAGTTTTCATTACAATTGCCTTAGGCCTTAGGCACTCGTAAAGACGCTGTTTGCATTCTCACTTTGCCGAACTCGGCGAGGAGCTGATCACATCGTGATACGACGTTTCTCCTTTCCATAAGAAAAGCGTTCCTTTCGGATCCTGCGAGCCATCGATCCTTTGGCCAACCGTTTGCGTGTCCAGCTTCCGGGTTTGCCCGTGCCAGTCAAACAAGATGCACGAATTCACGGGGCGTGGCAGTGGGTTTGTTACTACTAGTAAGGCACTTGTTACTAGTAGCGTGGCACTTGTTACTACTAGCTTCTTGTTACTACTAGTAAGGCACTTGTATAGTCAGTAACAAACATTGCACCTGAAATGCATAGGAGCTGCAATAAGAAGCTTGGTTGGTCAGATCAAGACCTTACACAAGATATCAAGGCTGCAACGGTTTAAGGAATGTATACCATGACACATGAAGATTTGGGATGAACGCCGAGCTTGAGTTTAGTACAGACAAGTTGAATTCCAACGTTCAAGACTGAGACCAAGAGGTCCCCTATTTCTTGTTTGTTCTTGTTTTTCGTTTTCTTGACCACTCCCACCCTGGCCCTTGACTCCAAGGTCTTCATTTTCTGGCTTAGCTGGAGCCAATCGATGGCTTTGGGGCCGTGCGCTCAGCCGTGGTCGGCACACCTTTGGCATATTTTGGCATTTTGGTCCTTTTGGAGCCACACCTTTGGGATCCTGGTCGTTTGGACGAGTTTGGCAGTACTATATAAAGCTTTTGGAGCCCAATCAGTTTGATGTCCTACTTTTTCAAGGTAAGTAAGGACCTTGAGCCTCCTGGGATCTCCTGGGCTTTTGCCCACCTGCCACAGATTCATTGCTTTGCCCTCACTTAATCGCACCAGTCGCCAAGTTGGGAATAATTGAAGGAGACGTCGCGAGGACCAAAGAGAGAAACCATGAGAAACCCGTTTTTCTACTCCATTTGGCACTTTCCGGACAAAAAAGCAGCTGCGCTCAGGCCAGCTACACTCAAGAGAGGTGCGCAGTACAACACTTCTCCTTCTCTCAGTTTCCTTTCCGTTCGACATGTCCCAAGACTTCGAACCCATTAGCCCATGCAAGCGGGGAGATTGCCTGGATGCAAGGCGATTTCTACATGTCAGCTTGACAAACTTGACGTCTGAACAGTTGAGCACCGCAAGAATCCTCCCAAAATGAACTAATTAAATCTAAGATAATCTAAGTAACTATATGACATAGGGGTGTAATCCTAGGTATTTTGCAAGAGCTTAGTTGCTGAGCAGTCCATTACATTCCACGAATTTCGCTGATCGCCAGTGCTTCCGACCATTAGTGATGGCGCTGCCTCCTCTACCAGCCGGGACGCTGAGTGTGGCAACTCTTGGATGGATGAGTAGTGTCGCTTGGCTTCGCTTCGGGGTTGCAAACACATTATTGTCGTCGTCGTCCTCCTCCTCCCGCTCCTCCTCCTCCTCCTCATCATCATCATCATCATCATCGGCTCTTGACTGGGCCCTAGTTGCTGTGAGACGGCAACGGTGTCACCCTTTGGGAGTTTTCATGAGTGATATAACCGCAAAAAGGACATGAGATGACATGAGGAGCAGTCCAACAACATGACAACCTTCGGAGGCCGACACGCACGCCATGACTTCCAACCACTGAGACGGGACGCCGTCCTAGGAGGGGCAGGCGCTTCGGCGGCGGATTTGGCTTGGTCCTCGGCAGATCATCAAAGGAAGAGGTCAGACAAAACATGCGGAAGAGGCCGGAGTTGGTACGTATGAGTTGGTAGTTGTTTGGTGCTCAGGTACTGGGTCTTTACAAGAACATGTCTTCCAACTGGTGGGCAAGTTTGACCAGTGACATGATGCCGGGAAAACCGTTTTGACCAGCGCGAAGACCATGCCTGTTCTGAGCCTGCCGTCCTCAGCGAAGAGACCCAAAGATTGCCAGACAATCTTAGAAGTTTGGCAATGTCATGCGATATCGAGCTCGATGAGTGGAACCGCTTTCAAACGAGGCACCGGTTACTCCTCGGTGCCATGGAACTTGCCGTTGAAGGCGACAGTGACCGAGAGTGAGTGCCGGACCCAAACTATTTGTGAAGCATCATGAATCAAGCACGGTCTTGAGCTTCGGTTTTAAGTTGAAAACTGAAGACAGTTTATAAATGTTTATTAGATTTTATAAGCTTATAGTATATCTATATCGAATATTATTCTTTGCTTTGAGGGTCATTCTGCGAGTCAGATGAGATCTTGACAGATGTCCGTTTTGACCACCCTGTCGGTGCGACTTCTCCGTTTTGCAGGCCATCGCTTTGAGGATCTTTCCCAGCGACCCAGTGAGGTTCGACGTTTTTCGGCGATCTATGGCATCCCAGACACGACTAGTGGGACTGGCATATCTACATACATTGACTCATTGACCCCTGAGACCACCCCAATGTAAGTAAATATGCCATACATGGATATACATGGAGAGTTTGGGTATGTGATATATGGTTGTGTCCAATTGCCTATTTTCATGTCCAACAGATGATGGAGGCGCTTGCGATATCACCTATGCTGAGAGCATTGGCTGTGACATTGCGAGTCTAGAGGGTCTAAAGCCTCGTCAAATGCGCCCCCCAGTCACGTGTAGCCTGGTTCGTTGGCTCAAAAGCAGCTTCTGAACTTGTGTTTGCTTTGCAGACTGCAAACTTGCCCAAGAAATCCAACAACTATATACATTATGTGCATATGAATTTTGGGACAACCTAAGTAACTAGTCAAGGGGAATTAAGCATGTTCAGCAAGTCTTAGCAGACACTACTGGCATGGAACAGTTGTGATCATCCCGATCATTCCTAGTGAAAACCACTACTCTCTACTACCACGTTGTCACACTGTATGAATCTTGTAAATGGACTTACATGGCCACAAGCCAAACTGCCGATCAGTTCTGTTTAGTTGGACATTCTTTGGTTGAAGACCAGAGCAAGACAGGCTGAAAACCGCTGTTACAGCCCGTGTTTTCCCTGGTCCTTTTAGGCTGAGTCTGCCCAAGCGGTCCGTCATTCTCCATTTGAGACTTCGAGATATCGTGTATTGGATGACCAGTCTTGACATCTTTTGACCGTTTGTCCTAATTCAATCTAATTAATTTCATCATATTTCATCGATCTATCGATTTCTCATCGATTTCAGGTCGAACATTCGTGCCATGGATGTGGATGACGACGTGTGCAAAGCCCTGTCCAATGTGATCCGCTCGATGACGCAGCACCGAGATGATGATGGTTTACCACAGGGTGATCCTGAGAAGATTGCTGACTGGGGTCTCTATGTGGGTGGCATCAAGGAAGCTCAAAACCTGGAGATGTTGGAACGACTTGGTATCAAAGCTGTGGTGAATGCTGCCCCTGATGTGGTGCATGCGGAGTATCCAGACCATTGGCACCATTTGAATGTGGATGCAGAGGATGATCCCAGCTATCCCTTGCTGGACATGCATTTGGAGGCTGTGACGGATTTTATTGAGCAACAAAGAGCTGAGAAACGACCCGTTTTGCTTCATTGCTTTGCCGGCATGAACCGCAGCGCGGCACTCTGCGCGGCGTACGTGATGATGAAAGAGCGCGTGGGCTTGTTCAGCGTTGTAAGAAAGATTAGTGAGAAAAGAGGATGGATTCTAAGCAACGACGGCTTCATGCATCAGTTGATTCACCTCGCACGTGCAGAGGGGTTGTTTGATGCAGTGCCATCACCTCGACTCGTTGCTGTAGAAGAAGAACCGAATGCACCGGCCGACTCTGAATGCTGTGAGAATGCCCAGAGAGTGATCCATCGAACAGACCGCACACGCAGTTCCAGCAGCGTTGCTCCAAACTGCCACGCTTCGAAGTTGGGGCGATCGCTGTCGATGATGTCCATGTCGGATGGAGAAGCCGAGTGTCCGACGTTGCAACGAAACAAAGCAAAGATGGAGCGGAGGTTGTCAAGAGGCTCATCTGCCTTGTCCGATGTCTCGGATGACTCAAACAAGAAAGTGAGAAGAAAAGCTGAGCCTGAGCAGCAGCCCATTCCGCATCGGACCATCTCTGACAAAGATGTTGGTTATGCTTCAAGACTGCCCAGGCAAGATTCCATCTCCTCAGACTTAAAAAGAATCAAATCTTTGAAAGAGCTGCGCGAAGGTACAGCCAAGCTACAATCCGGCATGTACCTTTACGTTATCATGCTTGGCGATCCGGAATATATTCGACTGATACATGAAGACCACTTGGTACATGAAGGAGTTCTTGCTGGCCACACCTCCTTGGTGGAAAGAAATGAGTTCCGCCGAGGATGGGCAAAGCAGTGGCACGTCAATGATCCTGAGGTTCGGCATACGGTTCTTTATGCAGGGGAGCTGGAGTACGAAGAGGGCCGTGGAGTGATCATGTGGAACAACCACTCAGGGCACTACACTCCATCAGCGGAGGACCACGTGCGCGTCCATTTGGATCCACATACCTTTGTACCGTACGATGAGTGAGGACATTTGCGATGCAAAAAGGGCAGTGAAATGCAGTAGGGATACGAGTCACTTTGTCATGGTGCATAAACTGCAAAGTTGGAGGCTCCTAGGAGGTGTGAATGTCATTGAATGCAAGCGCAATTCGTTGCCCAAGACCGTTGCCAATGCTCTGTTGTAGAATGGAGTTGAAATATCAATTGAAAGATCTTGAAAGCAAGAAGGTGTTCCAAGAGATCAGTTCAACGAGCTTGCAGCCACTCCCAGCTGGTTGCTGCATGTTGAATGTTGCGTTTTGCCCGGAAGGCAGATGCGGAGATTCAGCGAGATGCCGCGTCCCAACAAATGCACATCGTGTATATTTCACGGAGAGCAATTGGGGAAACTGATGTTGTTTTTTACATAAGGTCTAAAGGCTACCAGACAAGAGAAGTGAAGCGAGTGAAGAGAAGAGAGAGAGATAATGTAATCAGAGGTGAGGAGGGTGTTTTCATGTCATTTGAGCATTTTTTTCTTCATTGCGTGCCCTTGTGCTGCTATGGAGCCCGAGGTTGGCCGAACGTTCCCAGAGCGTCTTGACCTCAGTTGTTTTCTTTTTCTGGCGATTTGCTGGACAAAACATGACAAGACAATTCTTTGAACGTCTTTGCCAAAATATTCATTTGCACTACTGCAAGACATATTTTCTTTACAACCAATTGAATGATACGAGGTTCGACAAGAGGATATCAGATCACTGAAGGCTGAAGGCATTTGCGCAACTCGTTTTCGCCTTCTCTCCGCCTCTCTTCCACCAGAGTGGCCGTAGTCGCCTTAGCCTAGGCTTTGATGAGGCAACTCAACAGGCATGAAGGGGTTTGTGATGGTTTGTGGCTTCCCTGCTTCTTTTCGGACCAAGACTCGTTCCGGAAAAGTGACAAGATGGAACACCATGTGAATTAAGCTGTACCTCCCTGCCGTCTAAATGAGAAAGGAGCGCTCTCAACGGCGCGTGCTTGAAGATATTTCAATCAGCAACATGTTTTTTTGCCTAAGAACGAACACGTCGATTGATGCTTTTTTGGCTTTTTTTCGCTCTCTCCGGAGGCTTTGTTTCGCGTCCTTCGGGCGGTCTCGCACCGTTCAACCCTCGGGTTGAGGGCGCAGAGGCGGCCTTTGAGGAGACGTGACAGATTGTGTTGGGGTAAACAAGAACATCAGTATTTTAGAGGAAGGCCGGCAACTGAACCATCATCATCCATGGTTAATGTATATGTTGAGTGTGCCGGTAAACTTCCAAGGTTGGAGAACAGAGGTGACCACTGACCACAAGTGCTTGGCAAGACCTATCAACACACAGAGCAATGCGTGTTAAGAAAAGTGTTACGCACCAAGGTGTCGAGGACATCGGATACTGCCAAGGGATGAACTTCATTGCAGGCCGGACTTTGTTTGTTGAAACTTGTGGTAGACCGTTTGGAAACATCTGCAAGCACCTGCCAATCAAAAGTGCAATGACACAGCAAGAAAGTCGACACCAGCGGCTTTGTGGAGGTGTGATGCTTTGCGTCTTCAGATCTTGCGCAACATCAACTGCCCTACAGGCAGTTTGCAGGATCTCTATACTGACAGCACAAGAACTATGCCAAGCCAGTGTCCCATGCACGTGGTGATAGTCAGTCACTGCCTTAACGCTTCACACTGATATGCTAGGTGTGCAGCGTACTGCCCCACCATAGGTCATACTGTAGGTGTTGCTGTTGGCTGATTCGTAGTTTTGCATCAGGTGTTCACTGTTTAACATTATCTTTTGATCAACATGTACTAGTACTAGCTTGCTATAACATAGCATATTATTAAGCATGAGCGACCTCCCAAACCTTATATCATTATATATATATAATCATGCCTCGTATGCTGCAATGGCAAGGCGATTCCTATCGATTCCTATAGATGTAATGGATGAATTGCTTGTCAGTCTTTGTTGGTAGGAGTTTTGGCAGTCAGGTTTAGAGGTAAGACGAGGCAAGACGAGGAGTTTTGACTCAGGCAGCTGAACCCTTTGCCTACCACTGTGTCAGGATCTTGGAGTTTTTGTCGGACGAAGGAATCGCTCGGTGTTTGAGTTTATCCATGTTCAAAGCAATCCTGTGATGATTGTAATTACTGTAGATGTATATAATTCTATTTAATTGGACTTACAATAATATAACTAGATGTAATGAGTGTAATGAGCTTTCACAAATTAACAATAATCTTCATGCACAATTTCAGTGTCGTCGTCCCTGGGAGGCTAGGATCGCATGCCCATAAAAATATCCTGCCCCTTTGACGCTTTGGGCCTTGCACAAACCGAACTTAACGGAACCAAATTTGCTTGAAGGTTGCAAGAGTTGTGGCCCTGAGTCATCAACTGGGAGTCAAGATAGCTTGTATGGGACGATGATGGGGAATTTGCACACTCAACTTCTTGGCTTTCTGCATCCCGACAGGTGCTCTCTATGCTGTTGCGCCATGGCATGAACCAGCATGGCACTCAGAGGGTTTATAGCACTCTAGTCGGAGTTTGATCCGCCAGAAAGAGAGCCCGGCTTAGCCCAGTTTCAAGACAATTGTTTCACGATACTCTCCACTTTCATTTTCAAAGACATGCATGAAGACTTGCAGCTGGTGCCAATGTTTGCTGCGCACCATGAAGGTAAGGCCTAAGTTTCTTGCTGTTCAGGTATTTTGGTGCAGGATTCCCAAAGCTGCGCCTGAGTGCGTTGCAGTTCGATTGCTTGCTGGAGGCCATGCATTTCAAGCATGTTCAAGCATCACTTCAACATGGCTGGAGTCGCAGCCCACTTTGTGGTTCAACGCCTTTGTCGTTCATTTGCATGTCCTCTTTGTTATTTTGAGGTCTTGTTCAAATGTGTCCAGGTATGTTTTGGCGCTTTAAAGCGGGGCTTTGCATGGCGCTTTGGTGTAAGCAACCCCAGCATTCTTTGTCGCACTTGGTGGCTTACAGCTTGCATAGCTGTTGCAGTTTGGAGAGACGCACCCAGAAGGAAAGGATTAAAACAACCTTCTTAAGAGGAGTTCAGACAGGAATGCAATAAATCTAAAGGTTCTGGATCTTGGACTTGAGTGCTTTGCCCCTTATTATGAACAGCAAAGAGGTTTTCACGCAGAAGAGCAACACTGCTCCAAGGGACAACTCAAGAGCACGTGCAAGTAACCACCTGCTGCAGCTCATATCAAGTTCATGTTGAGCCCCCCTAGAAGGCGACTGGGCCATGGTCCAAGCAGCTTCCAGTTGGGATGAGCTGAAGAAGATCCTATTGGAAGGAGAGGTTCTCTCCGTTTCGACCGACACAGTTTTGGGCCAGTTTTGGCCCTCGAGGCTGACACGTCAGGCGTATCCTGCAAGGTCGCCATCAAACATTACATGCTTCCAAGAATGCAAAGGCCTCACTCTACCCGTTACCTGCTATATACTTGCGGGAACGCGTTCGCAGACATAGATCGTTTCAATCTAATTATTCAGAAGACAAAGGAGAGGAAAAGAAGAAAAGGGGCCCTTGAATCAGGGCCCTTGCCTGAAAAGCACCCATTGTTGTCATCTTATTTTTTCTTGGCATACAACACACTTAAAAGTTATTTAGTTCTGCGACTGACACTTTGACACTTCCGCCTGCCAGGAACCGCCTCGCCAGTGGTGCCAAGATACAAGGCATTGTTCTCAGTGCGGCAGTCTGCTCCCAGCCCACATGAAGCTGTTGCAATCTTGAGCCGCTCAGAGCAACTCAGTAAAAGCACCAAACCCCTGTTTCCAAGCACTGTAATTATTGTCAAGCACTGGTTGACCGATAACGTTGCAATATGTTGCAATCTCGTTTGCCATAAATAATTGCGTATTTTCTTGCATTATGTATTCCTCGGATTCCACTGCATAACAGCTCCACTATGCACCCTTGTTTTACTTAGCACTCAGGTAGTGCATTGCCACTGCAAGAAGACTCGGTTTTGCTCCGCCATGAAGTGCCTTGCAGTGGAAGCAGCCATCGGTTATTTCCGCAGTCGTTCCCATGAAGCCATGGAGCACACCGATCCGTTGAGAAGAACAACTTGCTTGAGGATCCTTTTGTCCTAGTAGCTTCTTGCTCCTAGTAGTACGGCCAGGAGCCCCTAGTAGCGTCCTTGCTCCTAGTTGCGATGCCAGGAGCCCCTAGTACTGTAGCTTCTTGTTCCTTTGAGTAAAGCCCTGAGGCAGCCTATGTTTTAGGGCAGCTTGGTGATGCCTCTGCTATTCCAGTGCTGCAGCACCTGCTGTTGGACGACACTTGGCAGGTCATGGTCACCTAGACATGCGGCCTTTCGTTTGATTGTGTTTTTTAAAATGTTTTTTTTGTTCTTTTTCAACTTTTATGTATCTGTTTTCGTGCTTGCTAAAGTGATGTTCAATCCTGCGCATGCTGTTCAATGTTTCTACTTTCACGTGTCATTCAAGAATCACACTTTAAATGTACACCAACTTGCGCAACAGCCCCAGCAGGAGTTGAAGCCTCTTTTCGCTTTGATCCGAGGAGACGGAAGACGAGATCGTTCGCGAGATCGCCCAGTTTGCGCCGCATGTACCAATCTTCATAGTGGCCTTCCACTCTTTTTTTCACTACATGGCGTCGCCAACACACAATTTGACACGACTCTTGAGCTTAATTCATTTAATTTCCACAGCTTCCAAACAGTTTGGCTTGAATGCACACAACGAAGCGCTCACATCTTTTATTGTATATATACATAATGGCATAGCTATAACACTGCTTCATATGTCAAGTTTGGTCAAGTTAATCCTTCGACTTCTACTAGCTGTACTACCTTTAACCTGATTTTGCGCTTGCAGCCGGTGACCATGATCCGTAACGTTTTGTGGATTCATTCAGAGCGTATGTTCCATCTAATGCCTTCGAGTCAGTCTGCCTCGCCTCTGGGCTCGTTTCGTTGAAGCCTTGTACAAGAGGTGAGCTGGACAATCGAGGTCACGAAGCTGCAGAAGCTTTGGCTGCTTTGGGATCGGAGAAGGCCAATGTTCTCTATGATCCTTGATGGTTTTGAAAACACAGCTTTGCATCTCTCTTTGTCGACGTTCCTTGGCCAAGAACCTTTTCTGTTCTCCCAGGCCTTGGCGGAGTTGGCAGAGCTTTTGGCCAAAGGAGACACCAGCGAAGCCCTCCGACACACCTGTGAGTTGGCAATGGCAGGAGCGGGTTTGATGGACTGAGCAGATCTCTTTGAGTTTCCAAGACCATTCCATCCCAGAACAAGATAGAACAACAGCATCATGAGCTTTAATGCATTAGTACTCCACCGGTAAAGTGAACGCCAGCCAGACAAAGAGCGCGCCAATTTTTTTGAGGACTTCAGCAAGACAAAGATGAGGTGTTGCCCATTTGCGTTTGCCAGTACTCATCCAAGGAGATTGAACATGATTGAACCCCGTAGCTACAGCACTTTTTGCTGCAATTCTTTACATGCATCAAGCTGCTGTTGTGGGGCTTGAAGCTTTTGCATTGCCCACCAAACGACCGACATGCACCGTGTTTTTTTCGTATGTCGCATGGAACTTGGCTTGTGGACCCTGACAGGACCCAGCTGAGGGCTTACCAGGTGCCACTCAGAAGGATATCCCGTGGGCTGCGTCCACACTTTCTGCTGCTTAGCTAATCTAAGATATCTAAGCTACACGTTGACCCAATATGTTCAATAGTTTTGGCAGAGCCGTGCCAGAGCGCATGACATGTCATCCGCCACACTAAGGACCAGAGCTTGCCCCTCTTCGAGCGCTACAGAGGGATGCTTCTTGGTTGGTGCAGTGTTGACAGTTACATTTGACATTCTCTTTGCTGTAGGTGTTGCATGTATTGATGTCATTTACTTGATCCTTTGTCTCCAGGATGACCCCGTGATAACCAGGGTCTCGACATGTTGAACATGCTAGTTGACGCTTGGAAACTCAATCCTTTAACATACTGTAGCCTGGCAAGACACTTTCGAAGGTCATCCTCCGTGATACTACGAGCAAAAAGACTAAAGCCTTCAGCCTACGAGTCTTACTTCCTCCCTTCAGCCTATGACACAGTCCAAGGTTCACACTCCGCAACCTGGGCGGTGACGAGGCCGTGAAGTCTTTGGCCGAAGCGTCGACTTCTCAGCTGATCTTCTTGTTGAAAAGGTCCTAGTAGCTTCTTGTTTCAATTCTAATTTAATTCATATTTATTCATATTTATCTCTTGTTTCTAATAGCTTCTTGTTCCTAGTAGTAAGGCCAGGAGCCCCTAGTAGCGTCCTTGGCCCGTCGCCTTTCAAAGAGATCTTCGAGATGATTGTCCCCCTCCCGTCACCGTCGTAATATGTCATCGTTGTCCTTGTCATATTAATCGTCGGAATATATTATAGATCATATATATATATATATTTCGTCATCACTGAACCAAAAGGCTCAATTCCAATCATTCAATTGACCCCCCCAAACAATCTCTACTTGTCATTGTGCTTTGTTTGGTGTTATATATATTATTAAATGTATGTGCTTGTCTTCAGATGTATTCATAATCATTTTGTTTTTTCGTTGGAATGACGATTGGGAACAAAATGGACCTTTGCGGACCTTCTCTGAATGACTGGGAAGTCTGGAACGACTTGGAGCTGCGGCTGGAGCTAGCTTTTGTGGCGGTTTGCGAGGCGGAGACTTGATGCAGGATTGTTGTTCTTTTTTTTGAATGTGTTGGACTGTTGGAATGCTTTACTGCAAATAAACGTAAACTAGAACACGTCAAGATTTCCCATATAGAATGGGTGACCTTAAGGCCCTTATAACAGCTTTTTTGTGTTTAGGCCAACCATTTTGTAAGAGCCCCCAAAAATGACGTTTAGGCTCCTAACTTTGTAAGAGAATCGTTGTGGAAATGTTGCGATGTATCAACGTTGTAGCCATCCATTTTGTAACAGATGCATTTCGTGAGAAAGCCTGTCATTTTGTAAGGCTTTCGAGGCCTTCAAAAAAGCCATTCTATAAAACATGTTGTTTTGCTATCATGATTTGTCTATCTGGCATTTAAGCATATATAGTAATATTATATATCTTATATAGATATGTAAATGCTTTTCCAAATCATAGACTACCATGGCCTCGACGTCAGTTATGAAATCTGAACGTCGATATTTTTATGTGTGTTTGCTGAAGAGCACCTTGTAACCGATAGTACTTGTAACATTGTAAACGTCGCTAACCCTCGGCAGACAACTATGCTCATCACTCGCATGGTCTCCTCGTCCTCTCGCGTGGCAAACATTGACCAGTTTTTCCAATCATATCCAATCTCATCGATGGAAGACCGCTGAATCACGCCTCTACTCTCAGACTACCATGACATATATTGTATTTGTGAATATACGATAATATTAGTGATTAGTTTCCTCATTCTGGTGTGTCTCGGAAGGCCAAAAGATCCAGATTAGTTCGCTCATTGAGGCCCCAGATGTGTTCAGCAAAAAAGGCCTTGCCGCGCCGGATCACCGAAAAGGGCCGTGAACGGCCTAATACCTCACGGCCCGGCAGATACTGAGGCTTTTGCAAGACAACTCAAGCGCAGTGTTGCGGCATGAGGCGGCTGCCGAATGAGATTGGACACAGGAAACAAGGTGTTTCATAATTATTGTGTTCTGAAAGGTCACACATAAGTTATCATCTATAAGATTCAAACAGTATAAGTATACAACCGGCCAAACCATGTGGACCTGAATCAAG